TGGAGAATTCCTGCAGCACTTTAAAAAGACACTCATAAATAAAATGTAATAATGTTAATGTCCTAATATGGTTTAAGCATATTTAGTAATTACAACTACAAAAGCGAGTAAAACTAGAAACACGTTAACCTTTTTTTTTTTTCTCCTATGACAAGCTAATAAAAAAAGAGGATGCCCAGCTGAGTGCAAGCAACAATTATCTAATGCAGTATTCCCAGATGGAGAAAAAGGATATTATGGCACATCCCTGGAATGCTACTGTGGTTTAAAAAAGAAAAAAAAAAAAGGACATATCCTGTTACCACCAGAAGGAAATGAAACAGTTCTCAGGAGCAGATGCCATATTAATGACTGCACTCATTTGATAATATTCCACATATAAAGGTGCAATGGTATTTTAACCACCCTGAGCCTAATTGCTGAAAGACTCTGGGCTGCTTAAGTACACTGGTAGTAAGCAAGCAAGGAACACTTTATTCTAAAGAGGAACTCTGACCTGCCCTGCAGCAGAAGGAAGGTTACTGTTGTTATCAGGCAGTGGTTTGCCTCTGTAAGATGTTCTTTTGCATTAACCCAATGATAATTCCATCCTTGCCACTAGGCTAACGTGCTGCACAGACCAAAGGAGTAAGACTGAAACAGAGAGCTCTGAAACTTGTCTTGCTGCATAACACAATTTTACTATCTGCTTATCAGGCTGGTGGCATCTTACAAAAGGCTATGGAAGGTCTTCCCTGTACTTATTAAAAGTAGATGCTAAACAGAGTGGACTTCAAGGGACAGTTGTACTTTCTGAGCAGAAGAACATAGAGGGAGGTTGTCACTGAAGGACAGAAAGATTAGTGGTTTTCAAATGATGTTTTTCTTGGATAAGAAAGGAGTAAATTTCAGTCCTACTGCAAGACTCTGATTTTTAGGGCAATAACATGACATTCTCCTTACTTATAAAATAGCTTTGCCTCTGTGGAGATTATGTTCTCTCATACTAAATAAGAAGGCAATTCATCATTAAAGATGGGGAGTTAAATATAAGCTTGTTCAGCTAATAACCTGGTGAATGTAGAGGAAGGAATGACATTTCTGTGTCATTGTCTGCAATATCTCACTGGCTACAGCCTGATGACTCCTCTAGAAAGACTGATGTTAGGTTATTAAGCCAAGCCACAGCACGCAATATAATTTAAAGACCATCCAATCTAATTACAGTTAGTGCAGCACCACTAGGAAACAGTCTGCTATTTGGTATGCCTTGTATCATATCGTTACCACTTCTGTACATGTCTTTATCACAAGCAATTCATCTCATATTCATGAAACTTTGCTGTAAAACACCTTCCAAAATGCCACACATCCTGTGAGCATTACTAGCAATGAGCCAACATCCTCTGACAGGCCATGAAACACTGCACGCTGCTCATTTGTTGAGAAAGTGCTTATATGAGATTCATGCTGGAGACTGACAGAAAATTGTCACCGAGTCAGAAGAACAGAGCTTTTTCCTTCCTACTTGACATAGGTATATATAGTTGTACGTGCTGAAGTGGTGGAGATGCAGGCCCTGCCCAGGCCACACCGAGTCAGAGTCACTCAAGGCTCTCTGCGGAGAGGGAATGCTGCTCACCATGAGTAACACCAGCCAGCTGCTGCAAACTGCGGTCTGGCTTACAAGAAGCATCCCATGATCAAAAGAGAAAAGGAAATAGGTAACGCAATACATGGCTGACTTCTCATTGTACAGCTGTGACTGCATTTCAGGCTGGGACAGCCACGCACTGTACTTGCACTTACTTGTACTCTTTGGACACCTAATTATCTTTTTCCTTGTCCTGTATTTGCTCCAAGTGATGATAATATCTTTGGTAACTGACAACCACTAGGAATACCTGTGCGTAGAAACTTCTGGTTTTGTCATTATTCTACGTATTTAATTTCTGACTCATATGTGGACTAAGCCAGGGAGCAAATAGCAAATTAATATATTCTGCATATATCAGACTGAATTACTCATGAGGCAAAATGCTCTTCTTGTATACTACATGTGGGTTTGGGTCAGAAGTGTAAGTCATAATTAAACACGAAGCTGAAGAACAGGCCCTTTTCCACTATGGAGACTGGGACCAAAACCACAGTGTCCAGCAGACCAGGTCCAGCAGTACTCAGAACGCAGCTTGCCCAGTCTAGCTGTCACCACCCCACCAAGCACCATGATTTGCTCCTTCAGAATTCAGAAAGATTTAAAAAAAAATTTAGAGCTCTAGTTTGAGATATTTGCAATGTCATAAAAATATGTCCACATGCATTAAATCTATTTCTCCCACTGACTTTTAAAAGTAGTTCTGCTATTTTTTTTTTTTTTTTCTTTTGCAACTGCCATTTCTTGATTGTATTCTGCTCAGGCAGGTCAGCTCTCTGCTGTAAAACCTCTGCAACATTTAATCTTGTCCTTCTCCATCACATATCACTTTCCCTTACTCCTTCTACCACCACAACTGTGATCATCACCTAATGCAACCTAACAGCTAACTCTTGTCCTTTCCATCCCCAACCTCTCAGCAAGCAGCAGCAAATCTTGTCACCAAGCCTGCCATCTGCTAGCTGCCATGGAACACTAGGCTGCTACTGTCAAGGCTGCCACAGAACTAAGAAGACAAGTAAGGTGTTGCTGCCTGCTGCAAGGGGCTGAGGCGGGAGAGCTGTTGCCACCAAACCCAAAAGGAGATGGGGAAAAGGGCCTCTAAAAGCTCCTGGGGAGAAAGAGCACCTGATCAGCACCAGTGGCCACTCCAGTTTGTGAGTGCAGCTGCACGGAAACTGTCGGAGCAGCAGCTTCCCATTTCCTCCAAGAAAACAGTGAAGGGCTCTGGCACACGGTCCATGCACCACCCACTTGGACTACAGCGAACAGGATTATACCTCTATTTTCCCAGTGTTATACTCAGCCAGGGCATCAGAGCTTTCCCCTTTTAGGCCTCTCTGCAATAAAAGAATCTCAAAACTAGCATGTGGCAGAACAGTAATTTATCTTAGCTGAACAGCTATGAGTCTTTTTTTTTTATTAACCTTTTTTCCAATTTGCAGTCGTGTCAGACTCCACATGGATTTCATACAGAAAATTCCCAAATATCTGCAGTCTGCTTAGAAAGTGAACTGCACACTTGTTCCAGATGATTCCCCCTTTCCCCTACACCACAGAGCACTCACAGCCTTGCCAACATGCTCCGCTTTCGTAAGATGCAGGGTGGGAGCAAACACTATTTAGTTCCCTGGCTGGCTCAACCTTGTTCTCTTTTTTACACTATGGCACGTATTTGTGCAGCATGCAACAACCAAATGACAACATCTTTTCCAAGTGGTATTTCTTAATGGCATTTGGAGAAAGATTTGTTAGTAACGTCACATGAATTGCAAATTAAAGCCTCCTTAACACACTGCATGACTCTCTTTTTCCCCTGCATTTTCCTCTTTATACCTCTTTCAGTCTGTATTTTCTTTGATTGGAAGCACTGAAAAATTGTTAAAGAGTGCAAGTACTCCTCTGCTGCCTGTCTCCTCACTCCCTCCAATATGTTTTATTTCTGTTCTTTTAGGTGCTTTGGATCAGATCCTTGCCTCTGGCACTATTCCTCCAGCCTTGACTTACGTCTAGAATAGCGTCTTCTGGCAAGTCTCTTGTTCCTCACTGGCTGGCTACTGTGTACAAGGCTCCTGCTTTTCATGGATCAAGGGTTTAGGCATCTTTAGACTAGCACTGGCCTCTCCACTTGGCTCCAATGTTTCCTTTTCAGCCTCCTCACAAAAATGAATCAGGGTTTAATAGTTAGTTCTCAATACAGTGCTCCCTTGTTTATTTTCTTCACATGTCTATTCTTTCTTTCCATTCCTGGCCACAAAGAGAAGAAAGCTGGAAGAACACCACTTTTGACAGTTTATTACCAATTTTGAGCTGTGAAAGCTGGCATAGTAAGGAGGTAGAGGGAGTGGGGGAGGCCATCTAGAGGGAACAGATTAGCCCATCACCAGGCCTGTTGCTCCTTCTGCAAGACTCCCGTGTGAGTAAGTATCCCCAGAAATGTGGGCATTATTCCTTAGCCCTCTCCTTGCCTGTAAGTAGCCTTCTCTAACACATCTCTAAATTTCAATTTCTCTTGTGCAAAACCTAAGTAGAGCACAGGGGCTACATGCTGGCATCCTGTAGAAGGGTGAGATCTGAAGGATGGATTAGTTCAGGAAAAAAGCGAAATTGTAGGCAGGAGATTATAATCCTCAGTATAGCAGTGATCATGACTACACTCTACTTCGCATGGTATGAAGGCCAAAACAGAGAGAAAATATCTTTTCAGTTGTCCTAGAAATAAAGTTTTTGAGGAAATTAAAATACAGGGTATTTGGCTTTAGATTGACTGGATGGTTTTATTGGCTAAAAATGTCTCATTTTGCTTGTGGGTAAATTAAGTTTCTTTCAGTCCCTATAAAGAAGCAGATTAATTATGAAAAGGAAAATATAAACAGGAGACACAGAAACCATCCCTTCAAAAATGTAGAAATAACGCATTTTAAAGTTTTTGAACACTCCCCACTCCTCCTCAGATAAAAACAAGAGGAAAATAATTGGGCTCCTTGCCTTTCTGCAATCAATTTACTAATCTCAGAATTTCTTCTTCCTTACCTGAAGCTGGAATCGTGACATCTCACTTCACCCATAAAAGCCAGTGCATGTAATCTAAGGTGGCAGCTAGACTCTTTGTAGCCAGTCTAGGTACCTGCAAAGTGACTCATCCTCCCTGTTGCAGACATCTCTCTTAAGGTGGGGTGAAGTGCTCTCTGGCAATGCTTCACTCCCTACTGATCACAGAAGAAATAGGGACAAATCGTTTGGACTTAACACTTGAGTTATAATGGCTAAATTAGATAAGTTTCCCTTGGTCTTCTGCATCCTTATTCTTTTTTTTTTTTACTGGAGAAGACCTGATTTTTCTTCTGTCTAGAATCTGGGTACATACCTGCAAGAAGTCACGGTTACAGTCAGATCCATGTTCTAAATCAAAGGCTGTGAAGCTATAGTTGAGTGTGTTCCCCTTTGTAGTTTGGATAGTCCAATTGCAGTGCTCATTTAATGGGTAATTATTTGGATAATTTAAACTTTCCAATACGCCATGGCTACGATTAACAGTCAGTACTTCATGGCAAACTGAAAAAAAAAAATTATACTAAATTATATTTGTGCAGTGCTTATTAACCCAGTATCCCCCAAAATTACCAGTTGAAGTTACTGATAGCATTAGAAGGTGAGCAATATTTTTATTCACAGATTAGAGAAATCATGCAGAAAGAGAACTGTGACCTATTGGAGAACATATTGCATATGTTGCAAACAAAATCCAGACTTTCCAAACTTGAATCCTTCAGCTCTATTATGTCCTTCTTTTCTGACACTTGCAGACTCATCAGGTTATGTAGCGCATATATTTTTTGGCAGTTTTCTTTAATTCTAAATACATGGTTATTCCTGAAACATGTTTTCTTCTATTTATTTTTTAACTAATAATAGAAATTTGCCCTGTCATTTGAAACAATTTGGGGAGGATGCTCAGCAAAGATTGACTAATGGATTAAAGTGGTTTATTTCAGCAAACTGGAAAAAAAATATAATCCCTGTCTAAAACAACAAATGGAAAGTACTCTACTTGGATTGGATTTTCTAGCTCCAGGAACTGGAAGTGATCATGAAATTCTTTTAAAAGGAGCCATGATTTTCCTCATGAGTCATCCAATAACCCTAGCATAAGAACTGGACTCTCACCTGGACTAATGAGAACTTTCCTCGAAGTGCAGAGAAAATGAAAAAGAAACTAAACTAGATAAAGAGTGAAATTAGAATTATGGCATTAGGTCAGTGAGTCTCATTTTCCTGTATCCAGCTGTCACTTTTCACAGAAAATATCAACATGGGCAATCCCTTGTCTAGAGACAGCATACAATGTGTATTGGGAGCAGAGAAGTGAGCAGAAGGCAGGCAGCGGGACAGGCTGTTTGCCTTGTACAGTAAATCTGCAGTGTTTGAACAGCAGAAATAGCTGAGATTCACTTGGAAAACTCTTCTATTTTCTGTCACTAGGGATAATACACCTACCTCCTGCAAATTTTTTTTATTCTTTCCAAACGATTTACAGAGCAGCAAGGTCTGTGTTTTTAGGACTTCAAAATGCTCAGGATACAGCTGAAGGTCAGGGTCAGCTGAAGTGGAGCTTGTCTGCAAAACTACACTGAAGCGTACAACTGTTTGAAAGGACAGGATGAAGAGCACAAAATGGATTTTGAAGAATGCAAGATGGGTAAAAGCTGCTACCCCCTGCCATCAGGATTTTATTAGAAACATATCAGACACAAAGGTGCCTTTGAATGTTAACTTGATACCGTGTTTTCTTTTGCAATGTTTTCCAATTCATCATTACATTTCTTTCATGTATATGCAAATGCATCTGGCATCTAAGCATCCTTATTTTATACCACTACTTCCTACATAATTTTAGCTTTTGGGCAAGCCATTGAAAGCTTTCTCCGATGCACCTTCAGGAATTAAATATGAATGTAAAGTATAGATCACATTATCTGATAGCTTAGGTTCTACATCTGAGTGCTTTGAAAGTGCTCTTTCTGTTTAATTAATGAAGCGGGGGGAACCCTTTTCTATTATATCGTCTTGACTTTGTAGTCTGAAAAGTACATGGTAGATGAATCTGTGCTATCTTTAAGGAATGAGGGAACCAAAGCTCCCTTACTCTTATGATTATTGTATGCACCATGTGTAGATGAATAGCTTTGTTTTTTTCGTAATCCATTTACTATTGTCCAAACCTAGGACACCTTAATGTCTATAAACCTACAGCAATCTCTGTCAATTGGGCATATCATATTTAGGGTACCAAAGATGCTTGCAAATCATTTTGTATGTGATGAAATTCCATATCTTCCAATGTGCATTTAACCATATATGCTAGAGTGTATAAGAAGAAACATAAACACCAGGATGATATTCAAGGTTATTACTGGGAACAAAATAACTTTAATTTGTTATGTATCTTCTTGGATTTTTCTCCAAATGTTATTATTCTGGTATTTCTGGTGTAGAAGAATTTTACCAAAAAATGTTTGCAAGAAGAATGTGACCCTTACCATAAGATGCAAAAAATGAAACTTTTTAAAGTGTTCCAGGTAGGATAAGCACCCACAATGATCCAGGATGGCTGAGGGTAACTCACTTATCCTTTGCCATCCTGCCTCACAAGCAGCTAGAAGAGCAGAGAAGCTTGTTCTCTCTGCCTTCTCTGTTAAAAAATCAGGAGACTGGGTGAGCAGAAGAGCAAGAACAGTCCAATCTACCCTGTTACGGACTTCCAGCACTTGTTATTCTGAGTAAATCTGGAGTGGTAAGTGCCACTGGTGCAGGTAATAGAAGCAGAGCCACCTCACCAGCTTTCTTCTAGGGAGGAGATAATCTCCATCATGGGTAGATGAGCAGATAATTTTTAGCTCTCTGTGTTCTGTGACTGTAGCAGACTAGAGAATTGGGATCAATAATATGCTCTATACATTGTCCTCTCTTCATGAATAGGTAAGATCATGGGCTGCAAGAAGCAGTTTCAGGAACAAGCTGAACTGTAGAAACATGTTCTTATCTTCTTTTACTTACCCTGTTTGTATTTAGCTAAAAATCCTCCACCTCGCAGACTGTGATCTGTCCTTAGTTTTACATACACGCTGTCTCCACTGGAATGGATGAGTTGTGGTATCTGATTCCCACAAAATTTACCTAGCTGTTTGGCATTACTGCTGTTGCCATCATATACCTTAAAAAAAAATACCCACAAAAAACCCAGAATTTAATAAAGCTGATGGCATTACAAATCCAAGTAATTTCCCCCTGACAAATGTCTTAGGGAATCGTTACTGGGTATACAAGAGGTTAAATTCTATTTCTGCTCAGAGGAAGCCTGACAGGCATTTCAGAAACAAGCAAATCAGTGGAAAAACAGGAAGCCAGTAACTGAATACTGGTGGGTTTTGAGGGGCTTACTCACCAAGAGGGGAAAACTGCATTCCATTTCAACTCTATTAAAAATATTCAAATAAGTTATGCAGCAATTAAATTCGGGATTAGCAATAGGGTTATTGCCACTGTTGTGATTTTTTTCCTTGTAGTTTACTAAGATAGCATACTAAGGCCTTGGTCCAAAACACGGGAAATTTAAAAGATATAGACAGATTCTTTTTTCAGTGGCCTTTCTATCTAGACATAAATGCTTTTCTTACCAGCAGCTACACAGACACTGCTGCCTTACCTCTCACTGTTCTGTGATATGAAGGTAGCATGTCAGCATGGAGCTTTCCTATTCTGGGTCTGTTTACTTAAGAACATTTGAAGACCAGGGCATGTGTTTTTCCTTGCCTATGCACTCATCATACTCAGTTGCCTCCTATGGAGCAAAGTGTCCCAGGGTACATACCGCAAGGTAATCGGAGTTGCACTTTGGGTGATACTCTAGATGGAACTGTTCAAACTGGATTTCAAATGGGGTTCCTCGGCTTCCTCTGAGCAACCAGTAGCACTCTGAATTATGGTAATATGGCATAGGGTAGTTGGGAGACATGAAGATACCAGAAGATGTCGTTAAAGTCCCACCGCAACCTGAAAATGGCAAAGAAACCAAACCAATGGTTAACACCTAGAAGAGTAGAGAATTAGACATGATGTGTGAGATTCATACTACTGACCTCCTTCACATGCCCTGAACATCTTCAGTGATGCTCCAAAAATCTGCATTTAGCCAACAGTGTTGTAAGCAGAAGAGAGCCCATAGCACCTAGAAATATTAACTATCTAATTTGAAGAGCGCTCCTGATAGATAGTTAATCTTCAAATAGAAACCTTTCCATTAAATTCTTGGTTACTGCTTTCCTAAACATATGAGAAAGTTGATACTACATTATACCTAGGGAATAGTATATCCTTCCCTACGGAGAAAAAGAAAGCCCAAGGATCAAGAAAATTGTATCCGTGATCTTAACAACACGAATATATGTTGCTATATAATTAGTAGACAGATTTTAGAAGATTGGAAGCAGACAAGACGTTGGGGGGAAAGGTGAGAAATTAAACACAAATGAAAGATCAAAAATGAGATGTGTAAAATGGTTTTATACTTGACGTGGTCATTTTACCTGCTGATGTACCATCCCACTCTGCTGAAAATCCCTTTGTTGTGCCAAATATGTCACTTACAAACTTTATCCACAGCTTGTTACTATGAGAGATTATAACAGGAGGCAGGTCTCTACCACAGTATTTTCCAAGAGGAGGAGAAGTTTCATAGCCTCCATCTCTAGAATGATAGAAAAGCCTTGGGTCAAAGAAGGACACCATGAGAAATCTTAACAAATCAAAAATCTTGGGATTCTTTCAGGCCTGGGAAAGACTAATCCTGGCTCTTCATCTTCCACAGCAATACAGCTACCACATTCTGGAGGAATCCTGCTACTTGCAGTAAGAAGTCCTACTGCAAGCACCTGCTTGCTGCGTACGTTCACTCTCTGTCCAGGGTCTTTCAATACAATGACAGACTCAAGAAGTGTCTCAAGTAGGCTTGATGCTGCAGAGGCAGGGCCTTCTCTGTATTCTGCAAGGTGGCAATCATTGGTGTAACCAAAGGCAATCTTCTAACTTGAAGAAATAATAGTTTGCTTACTTCTCACTGTTTAGCCTGGCACAAAACCAGATGAGCTGGCCTATTAAAAAAGACATGTTTATTTGCCACCACACAAACGGGAACCCATTTCGCAGAACTGATATGATGCATGTTTTGAAATATTTTCTTAGGCTTCAGAATTGTTTCTACAACCACTTATTCCCCATTTTTAAATTAAGTAATATTTCCAGTAATATTATCTAATACTGTAATCAGGACGCACATCTAATGTTCTGGTTTGCTACCTGCATGTTTCTCAGGGGAATAAAAAAGACAGCTACAACCTGCTTATCAATTGCTTTCTAACCTTCTCTTTAAGTACTTTCATATTACAAATACCCTACAGGTCATTAGGACAATAATAAATACATTTATATCGATATATGGGTGTGATTTTGATATGATACTTTTTAAATGGACAGTAGTACTTTCAGTTACATTTTCACAGGTTTTTACCAGCTTTTGAGAGAAATGTCTACTTAGACTTTGCCACCCTGTTTTCTTGTCATCTGTCCAGCTTAAACTGCTGGACGCTGTCTCAGGTTACTGGCAACTGAAGAACTGTGCCAGAACCTCCCCTTACTTGCATCTTGGCCTCTGCAGCTGTGGTCAGATGAACACTTTTCTTAGTTGACTGAATGCAATTTATCAGAGGACACCTCAGGACAAGAAACCAGAGTGGCACCTCACCTAAGACTTATCTAGCTACCCCATTTAATGGTATCAGGTTTGATGAGACATTCTGGAAATCCAGTCATGGCAGCAGAAATGTGCTGAGTTGCACTTAGCAATGTTCTGGCCTTATTTTAAAACCTGTTTAATGCTGCTGAGGTCTTCACAGGGACAGCAGAGTTAGATTTATGCAATAAATGTATGCTTTCAGTTCTCAAGATGAAAAAGTAAAAAAAAAAAAAAACCCAAACCCTGTTATAATTCAGGTCTGCCCCAAATTAAGGTGTTAACTGTTAAAATAAAGTTAGACTAAATTTAATCTCAGATTCTTGTTTTAAAATGAAAAACCGAAACACTTCACTTAGAAAATATTGAAAAAGCCTTTCAGTTTTTCATAACTTTCTCCAGTTTGTAAGTACAGCAGA